CCACTGCTCAAGAAGGCTTCATCAACGTAGATAATTTTAAAATCAGGGGAGGGGGTGGAAAGTGCCTAAAGTGACATAAAATATCTGGCAAAAAAAATTGTGGGAGAATTTTTTCCTTTCTCCCCTCGGTTTTTTGAACAGTCTGATCAGGTGAATGGTTCTAGAGAACTTGAAATCTCACACATTTTGTAATTTCATAGCTTTTCCTGTTCAAGGCACTTCCCGCCACTGTATATCTGTCCGTTCTTCTTTATGACTTTAATTTAATCAGTGAGTTACTATTTATGGCTACAGGTATTTTTCATCCCTTGAAACACTGAATTTTAAAAGCAGGGAAGGGTGGTTCCCCCCCTTCTATTTCTACTATTTACATAAAGCATGCTGTGTAGCAGCTCTATAAATGTTATGGACAGTTACAAGAATTTGATACCACCTTAACTGTCATGACTGTGTCACTCTGTCTGAATCTGGTTATTTGCAATTTAGTTTCTGTACTGGAGAGCAATATTGTTGTTTTAGGCGAATGCTAAGTATTTTCTTGAACTGCAAGACCCAGAAGCCCATTGGATGGATCCACGGCAGTTAATGTGAAAACAAACTTCTATAACTCTGTAATGAAGTTGCACTTATAACAGTAAACAGGATACGATGCAAAATGAGATGTAATGCTCTGTTTAGTGGTGGGTGGTGTTAAATATGTAGAGCTTCTGTGGAGCTGGAAAATGTCGTGACATTGGCCTTAGTTAGCTAATCACTTGACCTGAATCAATTTGGCAGGATTCAAAATTAATTGCTTCTAAGTAAATGCAGGCTGGCTATTCAAAGAGTTGAAACCACCACGTGACTCCAGACAGAATAGAACTGGCTTTGAGCCACCCTATTTTTAGCTGGAGAATATAATCTGTTCTGATTCTGTTATGTCTCTGTTGTAGTCTCTGTTCAATCTACGCAATTACATATCACATCATATACATCGTAGTGCAATATGTATAATGTGCCTACAAACACCAACTTTTTATCACTGCTTTGATGTTTACCAGTGAAATAAAAGCCAGGCAGGTAATATTAGGCAGTAAGTGCTGGTTTCTGTTTCTGTCTGCTGATGATCAACTCAGTCCCATCACACACAGTGCCCTATTAACTCATATTGTGACCGAATAGGACCTCAAGATCCATGCTTCTTTAATTCTTGATGTGATAATCAAATGCTGGACTTTGCCCCCTCTGCTTACCTGAAAAATAACGATATAGTTTCTGCTGGTTTCAGCTAGAGTTTTTGCATTTGCCAAGGCCATTGGTTACAGAAACGAAAGTAATGAGGGTTGCAAAAAGCTGTAATACCTACTGCCATGTTGTATGGACTTTTAAAGAAAAAGCATGGAATTAATTATTTGCTCAACGAGCCAGTGTTTCTATGTTTGCTGTGTGCATGTGTGTGCACTTAATTTCAACATACTAATTTTTTACACAGTTTGTGCAAATTGCAGAAAACCTCAACAAGAAAATAAACATGCTAGTCTCTCATTCTTGTGGTGGAGTCAAGGAATCGGTGTGCATGTGTGTGCACTTAATTTCAACACACTAGTTTTTTGCACAGTTCGTGCAAATTGCAGAAAACCTCAAGAAAATTAAAGTGGTAGTCCCTCATTCTTGTGGTGGACTCAAGGAATCACCTGGTTTGGAAACTGTGTGTCATAATGACTCATTGTGTTGAGACAACCTAAACCACTCAGAGATACCCAGTATAGTGGTGTGGGAAGAGTGACAGAATAAGACTCAGGAGATTTGGGTTTGAATCTTCACTTGGCCATGGAAACTCACTGAGAGTGTGGAACTGGTAAAACCACTCCTTAAATATTTCACTTACCTTGAAAGCCCTATTAGGGTTGCTATAAGTTCCGACTTGATGGCACATAAAATAACATACCCTAGAATAGAAGTTCTGAAGCTTTGGTCCTCCAGACATTTTGAACTTCAAACAGAGCTTCTGGGTTGCTATAAGTCAGTTCCGACTTGATGGCCCAGAACATAACATACCCTAGAATGGAAGTTCTGAAGCTTTGGTCCTCCAGGCATTTTGAACTTCAAACAGAGCTTCTGTTTTTTTGGAAATGAACTCTCAAACACCTGGAAAATCAAAGGCACTGCAGCTGGAACATCTGTATAGGAAAGCCTCCATGTATGTCTCTCACTGGCAGGACAGGATGGTCAGGGAACTCAGAGCCAGTCTTACCATTAGACATGGAGTGGCAGCTGGCTCAGGCAGCAAATTTTAGGTGGTACAAAAGGGGTGTTTGATATTTGATTTGTTATTATTGGATTTTTACTGCCAAAAATGGGGAGAGGTATTTGCAGGCTTTTCTGTCTTAGGATGCCAAAATAGCTAGTGCTGACATTGTTGCTTTGCAGCCTGACTTGGGTAGGTGGAAAAAGGTACCATTTATTACTTGCTTGCCTTAGGTGGTTAAATGCCCTGGATCAGCTTTTAATATCACAGAGACATTAGAGCTATATTTGGGGGCTCTCTCTTTCCTTTGACTTTCCAACCACCTATTCAAAATGGCAACATGTATTCCGTCCATTCCGGGAAAGGGAGCATGTGCCTGAGAAATTCAGAGCGATGCAATTTTATTTTGCTTTGAAGACAGGAGCAAACGGAAATTTGGGGACCAGCCGTTGCTGTCTGAGAAACAGACCCTCATCAATCCCATTTTCTCGAGAATTGTAACTATGTTTGACAGCCCTGGAAACCTTCAGCAGTTTGGGCGGCCATTACGATGAGCCTTCAAATAAAAAGAGCATTTTGGGAACCTCCCGGTAATCGTACGCAATGATTGCTTGAATCTGATAGTGAAATGAAAGAATTCACAGATGTCACTGCCAAGAATCCCAGTGAAATTAGGGGCAGAAGTGGGGGGGGGAGAGAAACTGGTACTGTCATGTTTTTAAATAATTTGTACCATCAATTCCTTGCTGCTTCAGGGCATAAAAAGTACTGGGAGACTGTACAGAGCAATTTTCTGTCAGTTCCTGAGATGCATTATCATTTAAACACCTCCTCTCTTTCTGTGTAAATATTATTAGCTTACTAGGCAGTCGTCAGAATTGGAAAACTGGGGAGAAATTGCTGGCTGTTGAGCTGTTTTATCCTGGCTTGGAGATTGAGTTACTGGGGAAATTATACTTCCTAGCAATTTTTTTCAAAAAAAGAAAATTAAACTGTAGTTTGATTAATGCAAGAAATCCAACAAGTTTTAAACTTTGTGTTTGCTGTTGGGAAGCTGTGTAGCCTCTTACAATCAAAAATGGATTGATGTCGGCTTTGTGTTTTATTATGAGGTTCTTACAAGCGGGGGCTTGCACTATCCATGTTGTATTGTTATCCATTTGGAAATGTCATACTCCACCCTTTAATTATAAAGGCTTCTAAAGCACCCAAAGCATGCTGCTTATATACCACCCCATAGCTCTTAAAGCACTTTCTGGGTGGTATACAGTTTAATTGTGCAGGCTACACATTGCCCGCCCGCCAAACCCCCCTCCCCATGAACTGGGTACTAAGTCTACCAACCTTGGAAGGATGGAAGGCTATGAACCTCAAGCCGGCTACCTAAGATTGAACTAGGATTGTGAGCAAAGTTTTGGCAGCAGTATTGGCAGCTTAACCACTGTAGCATGAGGCTCCATACCAAGCTGAGTAGGATGATTAAAGTTTATCAATATCA